GCATTTTTATTCCCCCCTCAGAAATGGGGGACCTGGGGCCAGGCACGGTGGCTCATACCTGTAATCCCAGCACTTTCGGAGGCCAAGGCGGGCGGATCATCTGAGGTCAGGAGTTCAAGACCAGCCTGGCCAACATGGTGAAAACCTGTCTGCTAACTATAAAATACCATAAAAAAAAAAAAAAATTAGCCAGGTATGGTGGACACATCTGTCAATCCCAGCTACTTGGGGGGCTGAGGCAGGAGAATCACTTGACCCCGGGAGGGCAGAGATTGCAGTGAGCCGAGATTGTGGACCACCGTACTCCACCCTGGGTGACAGAGCGAGACTCTGAAAAAAAAAAAAGAAAAAAGAAATGTGGGACCTGAGGCTTAGAGAACTTAGGCAACCTGCTGAAGTTCACAGAGCTATAAGGTAGAGGAGCTGGGATTTGAATGCAAAGAGTCAACCTCAGGGTGCGTTCACCTTACCCCTTCACATTGCCCATTGCACAGGCAGCCTCTTATGCCAGCATCACTTATTAAGTCAACCATATCTTCCCCCTGAACCGCAATGCCTGATTGTGTGTATATTAAGTGTCCAGATATAAATGGAAGTATTTCTGGATTGTTTATTCTGTACCATTGCTGTTTGTCCTTTGTTTTGTTTTGTTTTTGTTTTGAGATCGAGTTTCACTCTTGTTGCCCAGGCTGGACTGCAATGGCAAGATCTCAGCTCACTGCAACCTCTGCCTCCTGGGTTCAAGCTATTCTCCTGCCTCAGCCTCCTAAGTAGCTGGGATTACAGGTGTGTGCCATCATGTCTGGCTAATTTTTTTTGTACTTTTAGTAGAGGCAGGTTTTCACCATGTTAGCCGGGCTGGTCTTGAACTCCTGACCTCAGATGATCTGCCCACCTTGGCCTCCCAAAGTGCTGGAATTGCAGGTGTGAGCCACCATGCCTGACCTGGATTTGTCCATTTTTATATCAATAGTATTTTGATTACAGTGTCTTTATAGTAAATATAACTATTAATAAGAGATTCCCTACTCACTCTGTGTCCCATTACAAGAGTAGTTGCTAGGCTGGGTGCAGTGGCTCATGCCTGTAATCCCAGCATGTTGGGAGGCTGAGGTGGGAGGATTACTTGAGCCTGGGAGTTCCAGACCAGTCTGGACAACATGATGAAGCTCTGTCTCTACAAAAAATACAAAAACTAGCTGGGCACGATGGTGCATGCCTGTGGTCCCAGCTACTTGGGAGGCTGAGGAGGAAGGATCACCTGAGCCCAGGGAAGTGAAGGCTGCAATAAGACACGATCACACCACTGCACTGCAGCCTGGGTAACGGAGTGAGACCCTGTCTCATAAAAACAAAACAAAACAAAACCAAAAACAAAACTGCTATAATTGATACTTTTTTTTTTTTCCCCGAGACGGGGTCTCGCTCTGTCACCCAGGCTGGACTACAGTGGCAAGATCTCAGCTCACTGCAACCTCCGCGCCTCCTGGGTTCAAGTGATTCTCCTGCCTCAGCCTTCTGAGTAGCTGAGACTACAGGCATGTGCCACCATGGCCGGCTAAGTTTTTTGTATTTTTAGTAGAGACGGAGTTTCACCATGTTGGTCAGGCTGGTCTCAAACTTCTGACCTCAAATGATCTGCCAGCCTTGGCCGTAATTGATACTCTTTAACATTATTTTGGTAGTCCTTGCCAAAGCAAAAAGGAAATAAGATGTATATTTTACAAAAGGAGAAATCATCATTATTTGCCAAAGCTGTGATTGTCTGCTTAGGAAATAGAAGATAGTTGAGATATTGTTTGGATGAATAAGTAGGTGTAACCAGGTAACCACATACAAGTCTAGCATCCAAAAGAACAACAGCTTTCCCAGGCAAGAGTGGATCCATCAGGATCCCCTAGTCAGAAATACAGTGACCACCCTTTTGACAGAATTTAATTCAGGGACTTGATGACACAGGTGACAGATGAATAACAGAAATAGGAACCAGCAAGGGAAAAATTAGAGGGAGCAGCTGCCTGGGAGTAGGCCTGAGGAACAAAAGGAAGAGGCCAACTCATCAAGGTAGGCATTAGCTCCACCTGGATCTTTCCCGTCACATTCCCTCTGGTGCCATCTGGCCACTACAATGGTCAGCTCCCCCTGCAGAGCCCCTGCTGCTTGGGGACCACTTGGGTGGACCAGGTGTTACCGTCAGAGCAGTGCCACAGAGCTGTTGGTAAGAGCCACGTGTTCTCAAGGTACTAGTTTTCTTGTTTACATTCCTCTATAATGTAGTCTAGCCTTATAACCTTGGACGCACATTCTTCCTGTGTCTTATTAAATTCAAGAACTCTTTCATCAGGTTAGACTTCCAGGATATCTACGTGAATTTCCATAAAGGAGAAGCAATCACACCACAGGAAGATTTTCTCTTTCTTTTTTTTTGAGACAGAGTCTCGCTTTGTCACCCAGGCTGGAGCACAGTGGCACGACCTCGGCTCACTGTAACCTCCGCCTCCCAGGTTCCAGCGATTCTCCTGCTTCAGCCTCCTGAGTAGCTGGGACTACAGGCATGTGCCACCAAGTCTCGCTAATCTTTGTATTTTTAGTAGAGACAGGGTTTCACCATGTTGGCTAGACTTTTTTTTTTTTTTTTTTTTTTGTGTGTGTGTGTGTGTGTGTGTGTTTTGAGACGGAGTTTCACTCTTGTTGCCCAGGCTGGAGAGCAATGGTGTGATCTAGGTTCACTGCAACCTCTGCCTTCCAGGTTCAAGTGATTCTCTTGTCTCAGCCTCCTGAGTAGCTGGGATTACAGGCATGCGCCACCACGCCCGGCTAATTTTTGTGTTTTTAGTAGAGACAGGGTTTTATCATGTTGGCCAGGCTAGTCTCAAACTCTTGACCTCAAGTGATCTGCCTGTCTCAGCCTCCCAAAGTGCTGGGATTACAGGCATGATTTTTTTGATACAAAGTCTTGCTCTGTCGCTTAGGCTGAAGTGCAGTGGCCTGACCTCTGCTTGCTGCAACCTCCACCTCCCGGGTTCAAGCGATTCTCCTGCCTCAGCCTCCCAAGTAGCTGGAATTACAGGCGCCTGCCACCAGGCCCAGCTAATTTTTTGTATTTTTAGAAGAGACGGGTTTCACTGTGTTAACCAGGATGGTCTCGAACTCCTGACCTCGTGATATGCCCGCTTCGGCCTCCCAAAGTGCTGGGATTACAGGCATGAGCCACCGTGCCCGGCTAAACTAGGTAATTTTTAGGGAACAAGTCTCTTGCCTGATGTGTGGGTGTGATATTATGATATCTGTCTAATGGTTTTCACCCACAGTTCCTGGCTTATAACTCCCATATCCCTTGTTATAATGTTGGGGCACTTAGGCCTCAGAGGCAAGACTCAGACAAAAGAATCTCTCTTTGACCTTTTCCCACCCTCCTTTTTCTCCCCAGGGCAGGACTTTTCCCCTGCCTTTGTTGTCTTAGAGATAGCCATAAAGAAGGCCAGGCACGGTGGCTCACGCCTGTAATCCTGGCACTTTGAGAGGCTGAGGCAGGCGGATCACCTGAGGTCAGGAGTTTGAGACCAGCCTGGTCAACATGATGAAACCCCATCTCTACGAAAAATACAAAATTAGCCGGGCGTGGTGACACATGCCTGTAATCCCAGCTACTCAGGAGGCTGAGGAAGGAGAATTGCTTGAACCTGGGAGGCGGAGGTTGCAGTGAGCCGAGATCACGCCATCGCATTCCAGCCTGGGTGACAGAGCGAGACTCTAGTCTCAAAAAAAAAAAAAAAGAGAGAGAGATAGCCATAAATAAATTCTCTGACCTACCTTGTCTGACTGCAGGTCATGTGGGGTCCCTGAGTTCCCCCCTGTCCCCTGCTATCTTTCTGTGTCCTGACCACAAATCAGAGGGCCTTGGCTACTCTTGTGGCCCAGGAGCTGCAGGATTGTCCCAGCAGGCTTGAACCCAAACTGGGGCCTTGGCATTGCTAGACACTGACCGAGGCATCTAGGTTTACTAATTTTTCATAAAAAGTGTCAAGTTCTCTAGTGACAGACTCAGCCCTCAGTCTCATCGCACACCTGTGAACCTTGGCCTTTTGCAGTGGGTGGATGGGGGAGTGCCTAGATGTAAAGAGGCAGGTTCAGCTGGGCCCAGCAACTTGGCCATCCCACAAGGCCCTGCGCACCCGTGCTCTTGGGATGGTGGTACCACTGTGTCAAGCACTGGCCTGGGAAAGAGCAGCCATTTGGTGGCCCCATAACAAGAGCCACCGCACAGGTTGGGGTGACGGGGAAGGTGTGGAGGAGCGATTCTAACCAGAGCCATCGTGAAGAAACCAGTAAAGCCAGAGGCTAGAAATACAGGAGGGAAATCACTGCTCAGACAACACAAAATACAGGTGTAAAAGCCGGGCATTTCCCCCAGAGCCACCCCGAGAGCCTGTGCAAAGGTATTGTGCCCTGCCAGGCCACACAGCACAGAGGAGCCCGGCCCAGGGGCTGAGTCCTTGGGAACCGGAACCAAACCCATCCCCTAGGGGTTTTTAGGCTAAAGGGGTGAGAGGATCTTCTTCGTTGTTGCTAAGAAAAAAGCTCCTGGTGCCTTCGTCAATTCTTCTCTTTTCCAGAGCAAAAGTAACGAAAGCAAGGTCTGCAAACTCCTGGTCTCACCTGTGTCGACCCGGAAGGCCCAGTCTGTGACCTCCCAGGCCCGCCAGGACTCCCCTCCACCCCGGGCTGTGGGCTGGCCCAGGACGCGTTCTCTAAGGTCAGCCCGCATCTCCACACCTAGTACTTGACCAGAAAACGTTTGCTCCGTGCCCAGCGGATGGGGCCCCGCTATGGGCCTCCTTTGCCCTAGGCCGGCCACCCCTCCAGGAACGCTGGTGCCCATGATGGCCACCTCCCAGGCCTCCGGCTCCCGCCTTCTGCCGCCTCTGTGGGCTCAGGCCGCACGCCCGTACGCCCTGCGCACCCCAGGGCCCTCCAAAGCAGGCGGCATGCTGCGGAAAGAAATTCTCTGGACTTTATTCCCGATGCAGGCCTTGGCCAAATACCAATGGCAAGCCCCAGAGCCAGGCAGGCTGAGGCCACCAGCCCGGTCAGCCATAGGTGTCAGGGTCCGCGTCCTCTGGCAGAAAGTAGCGCTGCAAGGCGGGCTGCAGGAGCCGCGGGGGCAGCGGGCGTGGGGGCGTGGGCCAGTCCCGGGGGAAAGGCTGCGGCTCCACACGTGGCAGCGGCAGCTTCAGCGTCCGGATGGGGCCATCCAGGGTGCGGCCCGCACAGAGCCGCGAAAGCATCGGGCCTGGGGGCGGGTGGAGGCTTGTGAGGCCTGGGGTCTGGGGCGGGATGGGGGCCCAGTCTCCACCCCTGACCCCACTCACCCCTCAGTCTCATGGCGCACCTCGCGGACCTCTGCGCCTTGGCCTCCTGCAGCCGGAGGATGGGGTGGTACCTGGAGGCAAAGAGGAGGGTTCAGCCGGTCCAGCCCCACGCTTGGCCGCCCCACGCTTGGCCGCCCCACGCTTGGCCGCCCCACGCAGGCCCCGCCGGCGCAGGCCCCGCGCACCAGTGCTCCCGGGGTGGTGGCACCACCATGTCGGGCACCGGCGCCACCGTGTCGGGCACCGGCGGGTACGGATGCGCAGCCTCCTCCTGGAGCGAGCTCCGCTGCTGCGCCCGCAGCTGCTGACAGAATAAGTTGAGCGCGTCTATGGGGCCCAAGTCCAGCAGCTGCGAGTGCGACCAGTCGGTCTCCTCCAGCCGCGGCGGCTCTTCGGGCAGCTGAGCAGGCCCCGCAGGGCCCAGGCGGGCCTCGGGCTCCAGGCAGAAGCTCTTCAGCGTCTCGGAGAGCACTCTGAGACCGAGCTGGCCGGTTCCCCAGCTGCGCGTGGGTGCCAGCGTCTGCTGGGCCTGGAGCTCCGGGGAGAGAGAGTGCGGCTCCGCAGGTGAGAGCACCATCGAAGGCACCTCTGAGACCTGCGAGAGCCTCCTGAAGATGCTGGAGGGTGACCAGGAGGTGCCCGAGGGCATCACGGAGGCATGCGTGGGTGCCCCAGAGACCACTGAAGTCTGCGATGGGGTCTCCTTGGGAGGAGAGGAAAGTGCTGAGGTCTTGGAGACCTTGGGCAGCACCACCAGCAACTTGGCTGAAGACAGTGGCTGCGAGCTTTCCATCTGTGGGGCGGTGACCCACGGCCAAGCACCCTGGCTCCTTGAGCACCCTCATGGCCACTGAAACTCCCTTCTGCCCAACCCTCAGCCCAAGGCAGGGGCTGCCCCTCCCTTGGCAAGGAGGTCCCAGGGCTGTCCCTGGCTCAACACCCAGGGCCAGACACCCCCTGTGACTTCCACCTGCACAGGGAAATCTCCAGAGATGCTCAGGGCAGGGAGGCTGGAGGCCCAGGACTGGGCAAGGCAAGGGGCCCGTGGCCTCAGCTGGTTTTGATCCCAGGACTTGTAGAAAGCCAGAGAAGGCAACAGGGTTCCCAAGGCCCCCCCGGCCCCCACCAGCCCAACCTGAAGCTGCTGGATCATGTCCTCCAGTTTCTGGCAGCAGCGAGTACGCAAACCAGCCTTGGAGTCCAGGTCGGGGCTCTGGACCCAGGTCATCATCTCCTTGAACAGGAAGCCTTCCTGGTCCTGAAGGCCCAGCCCATGCAGCAGCTTCTTGAGCTCTGGCCTGGGACAGATGCATGTGGCTGTCCAGAGGCCTTCCCAGTGGCAGGGAGGGCTGGGCCGGAGCGAGACTCACCGGCAGCGCACCGGAGAGTAGAGGAAGTAGGACATGAGCTCCAGCACCACATCCCGGGACTCCAGGGAGCAGGCCAGGAGCAGCTGCAGCGCCAGCATCACGAACTTCTTCTGCGTCTGGTCCTGAGGCAGGCGGAGGGGATGTGGTTGCTGAGGGCGGGTGGGCAGGAAGGAAGACTGGGGGCAGGACAAGGGGCACACCTGGAGGCTGGGGGGCTGGTCCAGGTTGAGCAAGTGTATGAGCAGGCCCTGCAGCTGGCCTTGGAGATCACTGCTTATGTTGGGCAGCAGTCTCAGTAGCACCTGCAGGATGTGCACACGGTCCACCCACGTGGTCTCCTCCAGCACGGCCACCAACAGTGAGGCCAGGCCCTCCACCGTGCCCGCCTCTGGGTATGCCTGCAGGATAGCATGCTGAGGTCCTGCTCCCATGTCACACCCAAGCCAGCCCCTACCTTCTCCCCTGTCCCTCACCCTAACCCATGCTTCTCAGGCATCCTGAATTCCCTCCAACCTGCAGGTTGAAGACGGGGAACAACTCTTTGAACCAGGTCTGGTAGATGAAGAAATGCAGAAACTTGGGCAGATGCGCGTAATGCTCATCCGAAAGCAAACTCCCATGACGGTGCCAGGGATGAGGGTGGGTCCTGGCAGTCTCGCAGGTGCGCCGCCGGGGCTCCCGGGTCCAGTCCACAGCACTCTAGTGGAACAGCAGTGGCTACAGGTCCCACCTGTCTGGGTCTCAGTGTAAGCCCACCTCCCGTGGTGGCCTGGGGCCCCTGCCTGAGCCTCTACCTGCTCCTCCAGTTCCCAGGAATCCAGCTGCTGGCTGGAGTGCGAGCTCAGGGAAGCCGAGGCCCGGTCCAGCTCCTCCTCTGCCTCCTCCTTCTCCTCCTCTTCCTTCTGATCTTCCTCCTCCTCCTCTCCAGGCTTATGCCCCAGCCGCTGGAGCAGCTTTCTCTGCCACTGGGCTTGGGATGGCCTGGGGTACTGCAACCACAGGGCATCCTGGCTTGCCCCTGGCTGCAGAGGGGCAAGAGGTGGTGCCTGATGGGCTGCAAGGACAGCAGAGCCCTCCCCTGCCAGCAAAGTCCCCAGCCCCGTCCCTTGCCTTGAGCTTTCTCTGGGAGGCGAGCTGAGTCAGGGATCCGAGGCCGCTGACCTCCGCATTTAGCCACATCTGCCGGAGCGCCACTGAGTTGGGCACATAGCCGGGGAAGCAGATAGGCCTCAGGCAGTACTGGAGGTGGGCACAGCAGGGAATGCTGAGAACCTGGATTCCCCCAGCCTGGCCACCACCTTGGTCACCTGTATAACCTCTCAGAGCCCCTCAGCCGCCAGTCCAGCTCTGCTGCCAGGCCTCCGACAGCTGACCGAGCTGGCACCCCTACTCTCAACACAGATGGCAGGAGAACCCTGAGATACCAGGGGCGAGGCCCTCAGTGAGCATCAGCTGTGACAAATGAGAAGGGAAACCTGGGGAAGTATTGGCTTCTAGGGGCCCTGACACCCTGCAAGCTCCTCACAGGACTTGGCCCAGCCCTGGGACAAGAAAGTCTAAAAGAAGCACAGGGGCCAGGGAGGAAGGAAGGAGCTTGGAGAGAGGGCAACGAAGAGCTTGATGGTGGTACCCAGGTCCAAAGAGTCAATAACCCACCTGGGCAAGTGACGGTGCCAGGCATATGCTGGGGGAGGGGCTGAGGCCTGCGTGGGCACCTGGTGTATGTGAGGGTGGGAAGACAGTGGATTCTGAAGGGCCAGGTTCCCTTGACTTTGCTCCTCTAAAGGGCAGGGACTCTGATCTTCCAGGAAAAGTCCCTAGGGGACCTGCCTTTCCACAGCCTCCCTGGGGGAAAGTAGTGTGTGGCATAACCGGCTGGGGGCCTGGCTTTGCCTGATGTCAGCTCCCAGAGCAGCAAGGAGTCTGTGGCCACAAACACAGCTGTACTGGAACAGGGTTAGACAGACTGTGAAGGGTGAGGGGTGAGGGGTGCGTGGGAGGCTGCAGCCTGGCCCTCTGGTTTTAGGTGGGCATGGCCCTTGGGTCAGATTTGGACACAAAGATTTGTAGCAAAGGGGAGATGGCAGGCACAAGAGTGATGCCTGGAGAGGAGTGGCTCTCCAGGAGCTGGGTGGGGGTCTCACCTTGTGGGGCTGCACGGTGGCAGGAAAGAAGCCCCCAAGGCTAGAAAGAGGTTCCTTGGGCTGTCTCTTTGGCAGCAGTGGGATCTGGGGGATGGAATGGGGGCTCAGAACAACACAGTCCCCAGCGCCCCTGCAGCTCTGTCCCTCCAAAGGTGGTACCCCACGTGCCTGGGTCCCTCACCCTGCACTGCAGGTGGGAGGATGGCAGGTCCAGGGCTACGGTCATCCTCCCTCGGAGCTGCTCCAACTGCAGCTGTAGATCCAGACTGAGACCCAGGCAGTGGCTCAGTGAGGAGCGGGCCAAAAGCTGGAGTATAGGAGGAGTCACAGGGTGGCAGAGGGGCCATGGCGGCCCAGCAGGCATGTGGGAGGGTGGGAAGCCTTACCTGGGATGCCTTGCTGTGCACCCTACGGTGGGTGGGTGGGATCGGCACTGTGACTCGGGGAGGATGGGAGAAGTGCTGGTCCAGGGGCCCCAGGTCCTGTGGGGACAGGGCTGTTGGCACTGTTTGGCCTGCAGTGCTGACCTCACCCTGGGCAAGACAGTGGGCAGCTTGGGGTAGGGCACACACATCCCAGCTCTCTCTCTCTACTGTGAGGGTCCCGGTGCTCCACTGCTGGGACTCCCTTCCAAACTGCATGCCCTGGGAGGGTAGCAGGAGCAGACGGACCATCAGAGACCAGGTGGGAGCGGTGGGTGGAGAGGAGGGGCCAGGGTCAGGACTGGGTTGGGGGAGACCCCACACCTACCAGCAGGCCAGAGCCATAGATCAGACGGAGGTAATTGTCAAAGCCTTCCTGGCGCTGCTGCCAGGAGGGTGGGGGCCGGGCTGCTGGGACCACTAGCCCCAGCCTCAACTGCTGAAGGTCTCGGTCCCGGGCCACTAGGGCGTCCAAGTCCTGAGTCAGGGTTCAGGGATCAGCCTGCTCTTCCTTGAGCCTTGCTACGTGCTGCCCAGACAACCACAGGGATCCCAGGCCTGCCCCAGGGCTGAAGGCTGGGGCCTGAGCCTGGGCAGGGCGGGTTAAGGAGGACCCACCCCACCTCCTTTGGCACAAGGTGCTGAGATGTTGCCCTCCGACGATGGATGAGAGGCAAGGCCTTGCTGCAAACAGGGACAGGCACAGGTGGGATGCTGGGTGGCATGTCAGTGGGCTGGGGAAGAGGCTGGGACAAGGACCGACCCCAAATGGGTGTGCCAAGGCTCAGGCAGGCTTGCATCAACTCCAGAGGGCCCCACGCAGCCAGGCCCTCACCCAGGGTGGGAAAGGGGGGCCTCCAGGAGGGTTGAGCAGGCCCGTATGGGACCTGAGGCTGGCTGCCCGATGGAGGTTGCTGAGCCTCTGCAGTTGGGTGGAAGTCAGTGATTCCTGGCTCGTCAGTGGCAGCGGAGGGTCGTCCACCATGTCTGGGACCTTCCAGCACATCTTCTGAATAGGAGAAGGAACCTGTATGCCTGGCTGGGGGAACCCAGGTCTGCTCCCCCAAGGTGGACAAGGTGAGGGGCCCACCTTGCTCACTCTGTCCTCACCACACACCTTAACTAGGTAGGATGTAGGCAGGTAGAGCCTATGGGACACCAGGCAGAGGCGGGATCCCAGTGCCAGCACCAGGTCTCCACTGTTGCTGCAGAAAGTCAGGGCCTGAGGGGCACCATTCAGCTGCAGGAGCCTGGAGGTGACCCAGGGCAACCGAGGCTCAGCAGGGACAAGGCCTGCTCCACCCAGTTCAGCCACTGGGCTCTGGTGCGAGGCAGAGGGAGGAGACCCCAGTCCTCCCCACCTCCCAACCTACCGCAGGAGGCGGTTCTCAGCGGTCCAAATGCGAATGGTGCAGTCCAGGCTGGAGCAGGCATACAGCTTGAGCGTGGGGCAGCAGCACAGGCCTGGGGGCAGGGTTCAGGGTCAGGAACCCAGCCGGGCGGGGGCTGGGCTTCACCCGTGTTGCCCCCTCACCGGTGATGTGGTCCGTGGGGTCGTCCTGGGGCCGGTGGTCTAATCGCGGACTGTCGCCCAGGCCAAACTGCACCAGGCCGTAGGTAGCGCTATCTGGGTCTTCAAAGCCCACGGTGACGCGTCTGCCTAAGGCACAGAGCGCCACGGCCGGGTAGCAGCAGGAGAAGGTACGCAGCAGGCTCAGGCTCTCCTCGGCGTAGGGGAAGACGCGCCACATCTTCACCGTCAGGTCCCCACCTGTGGGCAGCGGAGCCTGGCTGGGCCTTGTCGGAGGGGAGGGGGCTCTGTGGCAGCCTGACCGTTGGCACGGGAGCTACTGACCCGAAGACACGATGCTGTTCCAGGTGGATGCGATGGCGACGACTGGGCCCGGGCTGTGCGCCTCCGTTTGGAAGACGGTCTTCGACGACAGCCAATCCAGGACTGACAGCGTGCCGTCCATGTGCCCCACCACGGGCAGGTACCTGCGAGTGGGAAGAGCCTGTTGGCGGGGACCCTGCCGCTCCTTCTGCCCGCCAGACCCTCGCCGGCTCCGGCACCCACCGGTTCTTGTTCTTGCAGGCGCAGGCCACAGCGCTGCGGCGCAACTCGCCCTGGTGCTGGCGCACGACCTCCCAGGAGGAGAAGGCGCCTCCGAGATCTGTGAGGTGGCTGTACAGGTGCAGACAGCAAGGCTGCGGCGCAGGGGGCGGCGGCGGGCACACGCGGTGCAGCACGCTCATGGGGCAGCGCGCCGCGTTGGCTCGGACCAGGTGCCCGGCCTTGGTCAGCAGCCACAGCGCCTCGCGCGGCAGGCAGTAGGCCACGGCTGCCGCGCAGTCCTCCGGCTCCAGCAGCAGTGAGCTCACTATGCGCCCGGTGGCAGCTGACAGGAGGTAGACTGAGCCGTCGGTGCACGCGCACACGAGGCGAGTAGGCAGAGACGGGTGCGCAGGCGCGGGCAACGCAGGCGCCACCTGCACATGGAGCACCTTGGCGGGCAGTTGCGCCAACGGCGAGTAGAGCTCGCGTACGCTCCACAGTTGCATGCTGCTTGAGCACAGGGACAGCACCGGCCAGCCCGGGCGTGCTGGCGCCAGCAGACGGCCCACGCGCCGGGACAGCTTGTCCTGACCCCAGTAGCCCAGTGCTACCTCGCCCACCTGCGCCGCCGCCTGCAAGTCCCAGGTGCGTAGCGTCCCGTCCTGTGAGGCCGACACCACCAGGGTCGTGTTAGGCAGCACAGCCATAGCCGTCACCGGGCCTGTGGGAGGGGTGTAGGTCACTCGGCTGACTGAAGGCCGGGGAGCCTTCAACCTATGTTGCAGTCAGCGCAGCAAGGCCTGGCCAGAGCTGCAGAGATGCTGGACAGCCTAGAGCGGCTGGAGGCAAAAGGCCGAGGCTCGGGGTGCAGAGAATTCAGAGCACCTGTGTGGCCCACGAACACCATCCGGATCTGCCAGTTAGCCTCCCACACCTTCACGGTGCTGTCCCGGGAAGCTGTCACCATTGCCTCTACTTCCTCGCAGTAAGCCAGGTCCGAGATGGTGCTACAAGTGGGGAATGGGAGAAGCCCAACGGACTTAACATCGCCTTGTGAGGGCCCTGTACCCCTACATGCCTGGCCCTCCTTAGGGGGATTCCCCCTCACGTTTTGTGCAGATCCCAGCGCACATCTACCAGAGTCCAGGCATGCAGATCGAAAGTGAGCACGGCCGAGCCATAGGCCGCGAAGCAGCGCAGGACGTGGTGGGGAGGAACCGGCCCCACAGCCAGACGCATGAGCCTGCCCGTTGGGCTCGGGGGCGGGTGCAGTGGTGACCCTCGCAGCACTAGGCGGCGACCACCTGAGCGGAACTGCCAGAGCGCCAGGCTGCTGTCCATCTCCGCCACGAGCAGCAGCCTGAGGTCAGGCACCGGCAGGCAGCAGGTGGGCGCCCAACCCGGGGCCCTGCCCACCCGCGGCTCGCTCAGCCACAGCAGGCTGAGGTTGGGCCTCAGAATGGCCAGCCCCGCGGGGCCCCAGCCTACAAAACGGCCCACGGCACCCAGCGGGCCCAACACGGTCACCAGCCCCGTAAGCCCGACAGGCGCCAGCAGCGTCTCCTGTGCCCAGCCGTCTTCCTTGTGCAGGTGCAGGCGGCCCGCGCCGTCCAGCACCACGAAGCGTCCGCCCACCGGGTCCTGCGCCACTGAGCGCAGCCCAGCTGCCACCTCCAGGCGGCGCAGTGGCTCCAGCCCATGCGTCAGGCGCGCCACGCGCAGCTCGCCTCTCTTCTCCTGTGGGCCGGGGTGAGCGGACCCGCCGTCAAAGGTTGGGGCTGCTCCGGCCTAGGGAACCCCTAGGGGAAGGACCGGATCCCGAAAGAGGCCTGGAGGCACAGGACGGGCACAGCGCACCTTTTCCACGACCTCGTGGAGGCTGGTGCGCAGAAGCAGCCACAGCCGGCGGGCGCGGGCGCGCGGGGTCAGGCTTTGCCACTGCTGGCTGCTGGTCAGAAAAGGCAGGACCTGCGACGGCTCCGTGAAAGTCAACTCTGTGGGCGGGAACTGGAAGTTCTGCCACCTACAGCCTCAGGTCCCCGACCCTGACGGTTTTGGGGAGCCCTCCTCCAGGGGCCCTGCCCTGCCAGGCACTGCCCAGGGGAGTTTCGTTCCAGGAGATGGAACCCAAGCCCGAGTGAGACCCACTTCCTGGTGGATGCCTGTGGGACAAGGCCAGGACCCCTCACCATTCTTTTCGGTGAGCAGCCCAGGGTCTGGGACATCATAGACATCTGCATCATACAGGTCCGAGTCCAGAACTAGGTTGTAGCCTTCTGCCTCCCACGCTTCTGCCTCCATTTCTGCAACTGCGGTCCCAGAGCCCAACAGCTCCCAGGACTTAGCGGTCACGGCCGGCAGCGGCAGTTGCTAGGATACCAGATGCCGCTGGCCACTCCCACACCGCAGGCCCCGCCCCCACATCGCATCCAGGTCCACACTAAGTCACAGAAACTTTTATTTGAAAGAAATGAGCTGCAGCAAAGTGACACTCAGTGCACGCGGCCAAATGGGCGAGGTGGGGGTACAGGTGGGCACCAGGGGCCGGCCCAAGACCAGAGCTGGTGACCGCCGGGGCCTGTTTGCGGGGCCTCTGGCCACAGACCCTTTGGGCTGGAGTGTGCAGGCCCAGTAGAAATACAAAAATAAACTCTGTGGTCCAGCTCTCCCTGCTGTGGCAGTTCATTTGGGCAGGGCAGTCACTCTTCCCACCAGGGCCCCTGCTGCCGAGTCCGGCCATAGCACGGGCAGCAGGAGTCTGAGGGGTGAGTGGGCATCCACAGGATGGAGCCAAAGGGCTAGGCAGGTATGGCCTTGGGCAGTGCCAGGACTGTGGCAGCGCCAGGGTCTGGCCAGCAGCTGGGGAGGCCCCAAGGGCCTCTCAGGCGGGCAGGTCCAGGCATTGGTTGAAGCTGGATGAAGCTGGGGCCTCGGCTCCTCCTCATCAAATACAGATCACTGGGACCCTGGGCGGAGGTTGGCACACAGTGGGCCTTCAGGAGCCACCACTTAGACCAAGTAGAGGAGGCCCCCACCCTGTTGTACCCACTCCAGGTTTCAGGGACCCGGGTCATGGCCCCCATCACACACCTGTCCTCCTCCATGGTGTTGGTCTCCTCGGCCCCACCCTCACTGCCTCCGCGTCTGCTTTCTTCCTCTAACTCCTCCTCCCCCAGCTCCATGTCCAGCTCATTGCCTGCCTCTGAGGGCGTGTAGGTGGAGCCACTGAGGGGAGGCAGGAAAACCAGTTTTAGGACCCCCTACCCAGGCCTGCTGCTGGCCTCAGGAAGGATGTTCAGGGAGGACAAAGCTGGGTGGAGATGGCACAGCTGGGGAAGTTGTATCGGCCCAACAGGGAGGTGGGGGAGGAGGCAGATGGTGCCCACCTGATGGAACGGCAGCTGAAGAAAACAATTCGCTTGAGCCGCTTATTGTAGAAGAAGTAGTTGAAGGACCAGAGGCTACCATCCTCCCCGAAGGGGTCTGAGTCCAAGTCTGGGTTATAGCTGGGGAGTATAGGGTGACAGGTGGTGTGAGGGATGGGGGCCCACCTGCAGGGATGCTGGCTCACCTGCAGGGATGGGGGCCCACCTGCAGGGATGCCGGCCCACCTGTAGATGTCACATTCAGCCAGGCAGATCTCCTCATCCACCGCGTTCCACAGCTGTGGTTTCAGGGCCTTGAAGTCCTCCCGCACAGCTGAGAACAGACTGCAGTTGACTGCATTCACCACCTAGAGCAGGTCACAATCAGGCTGACAGGAGCCCAGGGCTACCGAAAGTGGGGAAGAACAGTGGGGTGGCTGTGAGTCCCTTCCCTCCACCTGACCCTCACCCAGCTAAGGCTGGGCTCCCGGCTGAACTCATGGCTGCGGGCTGTGCTGAAGTCATAGTCAGGCCTGAAGGACTCATTGAGCGTGGCAATCAGGTAGAAGAGGGTCTTGCGGCTGCACTTGTCACTGAGGGGGCCCTCGTCCTCGCCGCCTTGGCTTTTGCTGAGTCTGCACAGAGAGAAGCATCAACTGGGCCCATCACCTCCCCTCAACCCCCAGCCCCAGGCAGCCCCCACTATGGCTCACCTACTGGGGCTGAGGCCTGAAGTCTGGGGTGGAGAGAGTGCCTCCAGCACGTGGGGCTGGCCCTCCTGGCAGAACTGCTTGAACATGTGTTTGTCATCTCCTGCCATCTTACATGAGTAGCTCTCAATCCTATAGGATGCAGAGAGGACCATGAAGCATGCTTCCCCCAGGTTCCATTGAAGGGCGGGGCAGTGTGACCTCCGAGATGCCAGCCCCGCGCGCCCCCCCGCCCTGCCTCACCTGCCGATGATGTGGGCATCTCCGGTCTCCACAGTCAGCTGTGAGTTGATGGCTTCAAAGCTCGAGTTCTCCAACAGCTTCATGTCCTTGAGAAGGGGGCTTCCTGCTCCAGAGAAGCTAGTGTTGCCTGGGGAGTGACAGGCCAGACCATGGGTATCTATCTGGCCCCTTGGGGCCCTGCCTTCAGCCCTCCTACCCACTAAGTGGAGCCGCTGGGAACAAGCTGAGTCTGGCCTCTGTCCAGGCTGCACATCAGGAACTCCCCTCTCTGCCCCGCCAGGAGAGGTGACAAGATCTTGTTTTACCTGAGGGTGGCAAGTCCAGGCTCCAGGTCAGCCACACCCCCTGCAGAACACGCGAGTTCTGGGACTAGGCTAGGACCACCGGGGACCCTGCTCACCCTGGGGCTGCTGGTTGAGTTTGTCGCTCAGCATTGCCATTGCCATTCCCCATCCCCACCCCCACCCCCACCCCGAAAGAACAGCTCCAGCCACCATGGGGGTAACTCTTGAGTCCGCAACGGGACATGACTTCTGCAGTCTCCCTCAGGCTGGCTGGGCTCCTCAGCCAGGGTAAGAGGCTGCATCCCAGCTAGGAACCAGGACACCTGGGGCTCCGGGCCCTGCGGTCACCTGGGCGGGCGCTCTTTCGTTCTGGCTGCTTTCTGGCCCGGGGAGAGGAAAGCTAGAGGTTCCTCCACTTTACCCGGAAAAAGCGCCTAGTTTCTCCAGACGCCTAGGAGGGCGGTCCCTCGACCCCGCTGGGGCGCTGCAGAGTCGCCAGGCAGCGCCCGCCGGGGCCGGGTAAGGCACCCGCCGAGCCGCGGTGGAACTACAAATCCCAGGAGGCAGCGCGCCGCGCGAGGCCTGCTGGGGGCTGTGGTTCCGGAGGCCCGAGACGGCGCGGGGCGCAGGGCGGACACCCACCTGCCTGGCTGGGTTAGATCTGGCCTCGCCGGGTCGGGTCTGGCTGGGGTGGGTCGCTCCGCGTTGGTGCCGGTGCGCAGGCGGGGGCGGGCTCCGCGCAGCGCGGGCTCCTCAAGATCGGAGGGCGGCGCCGCGGCCTCCGCTCGGGCCGCACTGTATCCGGGGGAAGAAGCTCCGCGGCGACGTCCCGTTACTCCTGGCCCTGCCGGCCCATCCGGGCTGCCACCGCGACATAGCCTCGCCCCCCTGCACAGAGCCCGCTCTCGCGACCGACCTGCCGCCGACCGCCACAGAGCGCCCCGGCGAGTCAGCGAGCCGAGCGAGCTAGCGACCTCCGCCTCCCCCGACCGGACAACAACAAGCGTCCGCCAGGCCCGGCCCCGCGCCTCTGAATGGCCCGCTCCAGTCGCCGGGATCGAGAGCTCGAATAGCAATCGGGTGCCTTACCCGCCACTCAGTTCTGCTTTCTATGTCTACTGGTTGTGGAGTCTGTCTGTCACTCCTCTCGCCGTACTAACCCGCCCATCCCCAGCGCTCATTGGCCATGGCCTCTCTCGCTCCGCCCCTGAGGGGGTCGACCCCTTAACGAGAGAGGCACGGGCCAACCTAGTGCGTCGTGTGGGCGTGGCGGGGGCTGCGGTCTGCAGGCGAAGGTGGCTGCCCATTGGAGGTCCCGGAAGCGATGTCCAGCTGCCGCCAGGCGCTGGGATAGTCGCTGGCCGTCTGCATCTCCACCCGCCGAGCCCCTGGGGCGAAGAGGCAGCGTCCGCCTTCAGTTGTGGCCGGTGCTTCGGCCCCTTACCCTTCGCCCCCAAAGACCAGATCAAACGTGAGCGCCTCCGCCGCCCTGCCCCAGCCTCGTACACGCCGCCAGCCTCGCCCAGCCCGTGGGCCGTGTCCATTTCTGGGCAAAGCCAGCGGGGCAGGCTTGGCCAGGGTGCACAACTCGGCGCCGTCCCAAGGCCGACGCTCTGTGCGCGCCCGGAACCCTAGGCTTGCGGCCAGGGTTTCCGACGGGCGGAGACGCTTAGCGGCCAGATCCCACGGAAGCGCGCTCGGAGGGCCGGGACCCGGCCGGACCGGAGATGGCGCCGCCAGCGGGCGGGGCGGCGGCGGCCTCGGACTTGGGCTCGGCCGCAGTGCTCTTGACTGTGCACGCCGCTGTGAGGCTGCTGGGCGCCAGGCCAGACGCCGAGGCACAGCTGCGGAGACTCCAGCTGAGCGCGGACCCTGAGCGGCCTGGGCGCTTCCGGCTGGAGCTGCTGGACGCGGGACCCGGGGCGGTGAGTAGGGGCGGAGGACGCGGAGTCAGTCCTCTTGGCCCGGGCAGGGCACGGAGCCCAAAGCCAGGCCCCTCCGCTTGCCATCTGGGTGCCCTTAAGCAGTTACGTTTCTTTGCTTCTCTTTTCTTGTCCGTGAAATGGGGGTGATGCTGGGACCTACTTTACAGGACTATTGTGAAGATTTGATGATAGGCGTACAGGACTTAGGACCTTGAAATGGCCTATAAATGTTATCTTGTGTTTCTTTGCTCATCGTGCGATGTAGGGCGGGGGAACGCCCTGAGCCTGGACTCTCCTCCTTCTCAGGTCAATTTGGAGTGGCCCCTGGAGTCAGTCTCCTACACCATCCGAGGCCCCACCCAGCACGAGCTGCAGCCTCCGCCAGGAGGACCTGGAACCCTCAGCCTGCACTTCCTCAACCCTCAGGAAGCTCAGCGGTGGGCAGTCCTAGTCCGAGGTGCCACCGTGGAAGGACAGAATGGTCAGTGCCCTGTAATGGATACTCATTTGGAATAGCCTTGGCCCCCCAGTCCTGGTTGGGGAAGTTGGATCCACCTTCCAACTTGGAGTACTTGGAGTGGCTCCTGGAGTCAGTCTCCTGCACCATCTGAGGGCCCAGCCAGTACGAGCTGCAGCCTCCACCAGGAAGCCCTGGAACCTCAGCCTGCACTTCCTTAACCCTCAGGAAACATGAGAGGCAAGCATGAAGAGGCGGAGCAGGCAGGGTCAGGACCTGTGTGAGAAGACATCATCCCAAGAGCAGCAGGAGGGTGACAGGAGTGGGAGAGTGACAGACTCAGATACCTGCTGCCTAAGACTGAGAGTTCTGCAGTGGCAAGGGTTGTGCAGATAGGGCTGGGGAGAAGGGTGTTTCCAGAGATGCTTAGAAGATGGAATTAGTGGCCGGGTGGGGTGGCTCACGCCTGTAATCCCAGCACTTTGGGAGGCCGAAGTGGGTGGTTCACCTGAGGTCAGGAGTTCGAGACCAGCCTGGTCAACATGGTGAAACCAAACTCTGTCTCTACTAAAAATACAAAAATTAGCCAGGCATGGTGGCGTGCACCTGTAGTCCCAGCTAATTGGGGAGGCTGAGGCAGGAGAATCACTTGAACCTGGAGGCAAAGGTTGCAGTGAGCTGAGATCGTGCCGCTGCACTCCAGCCTGGTGACAGAGGGAGGACTCTGTCTCAAAAAAAAAAAAAAAAGATGGAATTAGCTGAGTTTCATGGTTGCTTGGGAGGTTTTCTGCAGACAAAGCCTCCCTCTATCACCCAGAATGGAGTGCAGTGGTGTGATCCTAACTCACTGGAGCCTTGAACTCCTGGGCTCAGGTGATCCTCCTGCTTCAGCCTAAGTAGCTGAGGTTATGGGCGTGAGCCACTGCCCATGGTTGCTTAAATGGAAGAGTTAGCTGTTGAGACTGAGAAACATGAAGGACTAGGTAGTATGGGGCTCCCAGAGAGAGGGCAGCCCACAAACAGATAAGCAGAGCTGCCAGAGGGGTCGGAAGACAGCCAGACAGGGATGTAAGAGAGGCTCAAGCAACTCAGTGTTTAGAAAGGAGCTAGGCTCTCTTTAGTCATTCACCAAGCATATGTATTCAGCAGCTGCTCTGTCCCAGGTACTCCTCTGGCATGAACAAAACTTCCAATCCCTATCCTATTGGAGCTTGCATTTTTAGAGGGGAGGAGGCAGACATATAAAATAAGTACAGGGCTGGGCAACATACCAAACATTTAAAAATATAGCTGAGTGGGCCGGGCGCGGTAGCTCACGCCTGTAATCACAGCACTTTGGGAGGCCAATGTGGGCAGATCATGAGGTCAGGAGATCAAGACCATCCTGGCTAACACGGTGAAACCCCATCTCTACTAAAAATACAAAAAAAAAAAAAAAAAAAAATTAGCCAGGCATGGTGGTGGCAGGGACCTGTAGTCCCAGTTACTCGGGAGGCTGAGGCAGAAGAATGGCATGAACCTGGGAGGTGGAGCTTGCAGTTAGCCGAGATCTCACCACTGCACTCCAGCCTGGGCGAGAGCTAGACTCCGTCTCACCAAAAAAAAAAAAAAAAAAAATTAGCTGCAGTAAACTGTGATCATGCCACTGCACTCCAGCCTGGGTGACAGAGTGAGATCCTGTCTCCAAAAAAAAAATAATAATAATAAAATTACCATAGAGTTTTTTAAAAAAAGTCTGTTAGATGGTGTGGGACTGGGAATGGTGGAGCTGGGAGGATTGCTTTTTAAAACGGTGGCAGGGGCACAGTGGCTCATGCCTGTAATTCCGGCACTTTGGGAAGCCGAGGCAGGTAGATCACTGGAGGTCGGGAGTTAAAGACCAGTCTGACTAACATGGAGAAATCCTGTCTCTACTAAAAATACAAAATTAGCCGGGTGTGGTGGTGCGTGCCTGTAATCCCAGCTACCCGGGAGGGTGAGGCAGGAGAATCGCCTGAACCCAGGAGGCAGAGGTTGCGGTGAGCCGAGATCACACCATTGCACTCCAGCCTGGGCCACAAGTGAAACTCCGTCTCAAAATAAAAACAAAAACAAAAAAAACGGTGGCAGGGGAAGGCCTCATTGAGGCAACACTGGAATGAAATGTGAAGGTCATGGCATGAACCATGTGACCAAGGAAGCAGCAAACAAACCCTGAGGTGAGCATGTGCAGGTGATCCTTGCGGCTCACTGGGTGCCAGGACCGAACAGCGCTGGGTGCATGGAAGGCCCTGCTTATCCTAGTAGGGAGACAGTATGAATACAGTGGGCCTGGGATCATCACAGGAGCTGTGTTAGCACTGGGTGGGGACCCCCATTGCAGTGGGCTGGGCCCCACACGGGGGTGGGGGTAAGAAGGGGAGTCAGCAGGGTGCCCAGCTCTGAAGACGCCCAGGGCAGTGGCTTGTCTGGAGTGCTGGCAGCCCAAGTGTGGGTCAGGGAGTCCGGAGAGGGGAGGTCTCCAAGGGCTCCAAGAGGCCACCCAGACTGCAGGGCCACTGAGGGCCTGCTTTGGTTCTGCTGTGAGGCATCCCTGGCTGGCAGAAAGGGCCAAGAAAGGTGGCCTGGCCAGGCACCAAAGGGTTTGAAAGGGCTCTAATTCCCAAAAATGAACTAAGTGCAGCTCCAGCACTAACAGAAGTCTGGCAGAGGCCTCTGAGGGGCTTGCCAGAGCTAAGGCTGGGAGAAGGTGTGGCTTGAAGTGTGGCCTGAGGCAGGACCCTGGCATGGGCTGAGGTGAGGGAGAAGGCAAAGGTCCTGGAAAACCAAGGGCCCAGAGGCCTGGACAGAGGCCACAGCATAGCCCACCCATATCTTACCTGTAGGCAGCAGCAGCAGCAGCAGCAGCTCACCACCAGCCCTGGGCCCAGAAGCATGCCCCGTCTCCCTGCCCAGTCCCCCGGAAGTCCCCACACCTGAAGCAGATCTTCCTAGGAGCCCTGGAAACTTGATGGAGAGAGGTACAGGTGTGGAGGGGGGTGTTGGGGGATAGCAGACAGTCCCCAGTGGTGACAGCTGTCCTTTCCTTGCCCTACAGAAGAGCTGGCAGGGAATCTGGCCCGGGCCATTGCAGGTGGAGACGAGAAGGGGGCAGCCCAAGCGGCAGCCATCCTGGCCCAGCATCGTGTGGCCCTCAGCGTTCAGCTTCAGGAGGCCTGCTTCCCACCTGGCCCCATCAGGTGAGGCCTGGGGCTTCTTCCTCACCTTGTCCTTGTGACCCTCCCAGGTCCTCCATCCATCCCTCAACCCACATTCTGGCACAGGCTGCAGGTCACACTTGAAGACGCTGCCTCTGCCGCATCCACCGCGTCCTCTGCGCACGTTGCCCTGCAGGTCCACCCCCACTGCACCGTTGCAGCTCTCCAGGAGCAGGTGGGCACAGGGTCTAGGGAGCTCTGCCAGGGGGCAGGGGAGCCTAGGTGACATCATCTGCCCTGATTGCTCTGGCCGCAGGTGTTCTCAGAGCTCGGTTTCCCACCAGCTGTGCAACGCTGGGTCATTGGGCGGTGCCTGTGTGTGCCTGAGCGCAGCCTTGCCTCCTATGGAGTTCGGCAGGATGGGGACCCTGCTTTCCTCTACTTGCTGTCAGCTCCTCGAGAAGCCCCAGGTCAGTCCTCGATGGGGGTGGGGTGTGGGAGGTGGGGTGCAGCCCGCCAGTCCTGAGCTCCACCCCCTCAGCTACAGGACCTAGCCCTCAGCGCCCCCAGAAGATGGACGGGGAACTTGGACGCTTGTTTCCCCCATCATTGGGGCTACCCCCAGGCCCCCAGCCAGCTGCCTCCAGCCTGCCCAGTCCTCTCCAGGTGGGCACGGGACTGGGCAGGGTGGGTCAGGACAGCCATGGGCATTGGAAAGAGCAGGGAAGCAACAACTGTCTCTCTTCCCCCAGCCCAGCTGGCCCTGCCCTTCCTGCACCTTCATCAATGCCCCAAGCCGCCCTGGCTGTGAGATGTGTAGCACCCAGAGGCCGTGCACTTGGGATCCCCTTGCCGCAGCTTCCACCTAGCAGCCACCAGAGGTACCAGAGGTGGCTCAGGCAGGGGAGGTGGGGGCAAGGCAGAACCTACAGGAATGACCCAGCTCCACCCCCACAGGTTACAAGGGGAGAGTGGCCCTTCCCTCATAGGCCCGACGTCTCCAGGTCCCCGCCAAACTCAGGGGACCTCTACTGACTGCTTGCTGGGACAGAGTCACCAGGGTTGGGGGAAGGGCCACAAACTGAAACCATTAAAGACACTTACAAGCCAGCAAGTGTCCCTTTCGTGGTATCTCTGCAGACCTGCCCCAACCTAGCCAGCACTACAGAGAGACACCCTCATCAGCAGGTGGGGCTCCCCCAGCCAGACCCCAGTGGTACCGAAGAGTGGACCTGGACCCTAAGCCTCAGTGGTCAGGAAAGCATGGCATGGGGATCTCTTCCCAGACTCCAGAGGCCTACAGAGCCCCCCACCCAGCTGCTCACCACTGGGCTGAGGCTGCTGGGGTGTGCCACACACTGAGCCGCAGCCCCCACCACTGACCTTGTCTCCTGTCTACCCTGGTCCCCCAGGCCTGCACCTCTCCTGCCTGCAGCCCTATTGGCACCACCTTTCTCCCATTCAGCTCTTGCCTTCCCTGGACTCTGGCCACCACTCCCCTCAGCTCTTGCAGCTAGGATACCAGCAATGAAAACGGGTGTTTTCCTTCCCCTCCTAGGGACGAGGGAAGCTCAGGAGCTAAGTCCTACACCAGGTCACTGGGCCAGTGCTGGGTCATGTCTCTGTGACCCTCCTAGATAGCATCCACTGTCTCCCTCCCTCAGCAGCATGCTCCTATGGGAACCCAGCCACTGCCAGCTTCTGGCCAGGACCGACCACCCAGCTGCCCTGTGGACTGCTAGGAGGGGCCACTCCATGACACACATCCTGCCCGTCTACTTGACCCCTTCACCTGGCTGGGAGCTATCCCCTTCCTCTCAGCCCAGTCCAGCAATAGCCCCTGCCCTAGACCAGGCCTTTACCCTGTTGAAATGCTGCCGAGGTTCCCTGCTGCCATCAGAATGGGGCCAAGTGGTTCAACACCTTGACACTTGGCTGTACATTTCAACAGGTCCCTGGGCCACATCCTGCCTAGCCAGGCCCTTTTCAGCTCTGTGCCCAGACACACCCCATCCCACCCCACCAAATGCTGCCACTTCCTCTAACATCCAGTTGTCTGCTTTCTGTTCCACACCCACCGTCTGCACTCCCAGCTACCAGATAGTGCAGGGCATTGCTGGCCACACTGAATGGGACATCCTGGGAGCCTTGTGAAGGCAAGGGTCTTGGTATCAGAGTCCCTTGCAAACCTGCACTCCTTCCATATAATAGCTCAAATATGACAGTTCAAATATGTACATTGAGAAACTTAATTTATTCCCATGATGGGGGCTGAAGGAGGGCCCAGAGCTAGGGCCTGGTCTCCTGTCCCCTTGCCTCTTTTTCCAGACAAACAGGGGTTAGCCAGCTGAGGCTGAACAGGCCTGGGATGGCTCTTGGGCTTGAGGGCCTGTTCTGGCAGGATGGCAAGCAGACACTGGACAGGGTCACTTGGGCGGCCGATACGCCAGCTTCCGACTCTTCAGGACTGACCACTTGTGCCGCTTCATGATGAAGATCAGGGGCACTAGCAGAGCCGCTATCATCAACATCTGGGGACGAGAAAGGCTCAGAGAAGGGAGTGGGGAGGAGCCCTGCCCAGCTCTCAGCCCTTCTCTGATACCCACCATGGCCTTCTCCCAACCCTTTTACCTTGAGCCCCATGCGTTTTCGATGGTCGTGCTCTGGCTCAGATGCCCAGCGCAGGAAGGTGCACACGTCCTTCGCTATCTGGGACATGGTAGCTGGGGTGCCTGGCCAAGGACAAGCAATGAGGGCTATTCTCACACTCATGTCCAACCTGGGATAACACACCCCCTCTGTGGAGCAGACACGGGCCCCTACCCAAGGCATCAAAGGCACAGTACCCTCCACCGGACATACGCAAGACTGAAGGACTGAAGGAGCCCAAAAGCCTCCTGAGATATGCACAGAAGACACCCCAGACAAGAAGTGGGCAGGACCTCCTGGGCCCAGGAACACAGGGGAAGCATCCCCGGGGGTAGTGGAGAAGTATTCAACATGCTCACTGCCAGACTGGAGGCCTCTTACCATCGTCAAACTCCAGGACATCTGTGTAGATGGGAGGGGCCATGGCAATGGCCTGGCCAGGAAAGTAGGGGTTGAAGTAGAGACCTTCCCGCAGTGACACCCCGGCGGGTGGCTCGCAGTAGCCCGTGAGCAGGGAGAAGATGTAGTCCTCACCACCATGCCTAGGACCAGATCCATGGCTCCTTAGTCCCAAGCACAAGTCAGCCCTTCCCCCACCTCTCCGGCACCACCCCGTGGGCAGCCCGTGTACCTAGCTCGCACGATGTAGCTGAGGTCAGGGGGCAATGCTCCGTTGTTGGCAGCTCGAGCAGCCTCAGTGTTGGGGTATGGTTTTGGGAAATAATCGAATAGTTTCCCTGGCCGCATGAACATCTCCCCGTTTTCATTGGGGCCATCTTCAACCTCCACCTGCCACCGAGAGCCTCATCACAACCCTACCATCTCACCACAGTGGGAGCCCTGAGCCCTGGGTCCCAGGCATCCCCAGACCCCACACCTCCGCAGCCAGCGCCTTAGCTTCATCCTCCGTGTAGCACACGCCCACCAGGTGTCGGTAAGCCACGAAGTCCATGCTGTGGCAGGAGGAGCACACCTGCTTATATACCTGGAAGCCCCTCCGGATGCTGGAGGGAGGGAAAGGGTTAGGAACGCTGAAGATTCCACCTCACCAGCTCCACCCAGAACCTCCCCCTGCCAGTCAGCCAGCCAGCTGCATACCTGGTGTGGTCCAAGGAAGAGAGGAAGCCACTGTGAGACCACGGATAACTGGGGGGATGCAGCTCCAGGTCACTGGCACTCACAGCCGAATGTAGAGCCACAGCCAGCCCCGCACCCCCTGCCGCCAGCATGCCCAGCGCTGACAGCATCACCTTTCGGCCTCGGGAAAGGCCAGACTTCGACGACAAGGCCACTGCCTGCAAGATCTCCGCTCAGCGCCTGCCAGGACACCACCCAGCCCTACCTGGGGATCTGACTCTCAGCGGCCACCTCTCCACCCAGCAACGGCCACCTCCTGCAGGGCACCAGACGCACACCCTGTTCCACTACCCACGCCATCCCTCTCCGCCGCTGACCCCTAGATCGTGATTCGCTCTCAGGAGGGGGGTGTTCCTGCATCCTCAGCCGGGGATCAGACCGAAGTGACCAAGGGTGCTGGGGCAGGCCAAGGTCACAAGCAGCTGGCCGAGGTCAGGCTGGGGTCACTTCAGGACGCGGGCCCAGTTTGGACAGCCAGCCCCAAGAGTCGTCCTGGGCGCGCCATCCGGGAAAGCCCCCGCCCCGCCACGAAAGCGAGCCCGTCCAGCCGACCCCCACGCTCGGGACAGGGCGCCCTGCCGTTCGGAGAGGTAGGCGCCCAGCTCCGATCCCACACGCTCAAGGTCGGCAGGCAGCGGGGAGAGGGGGCGCTGGGTGGCCGGGACCGCTTCCGCGCTGCCCTGGCCCGCGCCCGCAGCCTCCCCGCCGTGACCTTCACGGGGATGCGGGGCCGCTCGGAGGCCGAGGCCCGGCCCAGCGCTCACCTGAGGTGTCCGTAGCGGGAGCTGCCCGGGCCGCGCGCTGCAGAGCAGACCCCGGGCACGCGCGCCCGAGAGCCCCGCGCCCCGCGGGCCCAACACTAGCCCGCGAAGCGAAGCCGCAGCTGCCGCCATCTTGGCCTCCTCCGCGCGGCCGCCACTCCCGTCGGCCCCTGGGGCGCCACGAGAGTCAAAACCTCGCGACAGCCGGGGAGCGCAGGGCGGGGACGGGCGTGGGGGCGGGGCCTGTCGGGTGGGCGGGGACGAAGCGTGCTGGCCGGGGTCGCGTCAGTCAGTGGCAGGGGCACCGCCTGCCTCGCCGCGCTCTTCGGGTTGTCGTGGAAACTGGCGCTGGGGCGGGGCCCCGTCGCGTCTCTCTGTTGCCGTGACAGCGCCCCGCCCCGTCCGGCGTTTCCCACACCGCCTCCAAGACCCCGATGCTCGTTTTCTCCACGTTCCCAGGCTGCGCGATGGCCAGGTGGAGGCTGCCCCTCCAGGTTGAGGACCTCCAGAGAAAGTGCGGTTTGGGGGGCAGCCCGGCGGAAGGCACGGGCGGGGGTCTCGGCCGCAGGCAGCGCCTGGCAGCAGGAGGCCGGTCCCCCAGGCTGAGCGCCCTGTTTTCCTTCATTCACTTGACAAGGGTTTATTAGGGATTAGTCATGCGCAGAAACGGGTGCGGGAGCCGCGAGCGGGACGATAAAGGCTCGCCTAGAAGCTCCTCATGGCCCGACGCCTGGCGCGCGCCTGGGGTCCTGGCGCTTTGGGAAGCTGAGACGGGAGGATCGCTTGAGCCCTGGAGGTTGAGGCTGCAGTGAGCCGAGATCGCCACTGCACTCCAGCCTGGGACACAGAGCGAGACCTTGTCCCAAAAAAGTAAGTAAATATGATCTTGTTATGTGGGAATATTTTTATTATAAAATATTTTAAAAGTAAGCAAAGATCGGGCGCGGTGGCTCACGCCTGTAATCCCAGCACTTTGGGAGGGTGGGGAGGGCAGATCACGAGGTCAAGAGATGGAGACCATCCTGGTCAACATGGTGGAACCTTGTCTCTACTGAAAATACAAAAATTAGCCAGGCGTGGTGGTGCGCGCCTGTAGTCCCAGCTACTCTGGGAAGCTGAGGCAGGAGAATCACTTGAACCCGGGAGGTGGAGGTTGCAGTGGGTAGAGATCCAGCCACAGCACTCCAGCCTGGGTGACAGAGGGAGACTCCGTCTCAAAAAAAAAAAAAAAGCAAATAAACTTTAAAAACTAGGCGGGGTGCGGTGGCTCACGCCTGTAATCCCAGCACTTTGGGAGGCCGTGGTGGGCAGATCACCTGAGGTTGTGAGTTTGAGACCAGCCTGTGTTATATGTAAAATGTTTATTTAGAAACAGAATGCTTGTTCCCTGGTACCATAAGGAAAGATCAGCATTCAGACAAAAATTCTCTCAGCAAGTCAATTTTACTCTCTGCAGAAAGGGTGCTCCTCATGGATGGAACAATGGCGAGAGCACACCTGAATAAAGGAGGGAAGCAATTTTTGTCCCTTACCGCAGCTTGTCCCTGCTACTGTGTCCTGTCT